GATGCTGATGATGATTTAAAAGTGGGCGGCAGCAGCATCCACTCAGTCCTGGTACATCAGAGTTTTCTTTGTGAGCCAGTTTTTAAGAAACATAACTGGTGTGTCTGAGTGGGTGCAGGGTAAAAAAAAAAAATCACTGCTAACATTCAGAAAATCCCACGTCATTGGCATTCATGTGCATACAGGCAGAGTTTAAGGTAACTCAATCTGAACTGCAATGTCAGCACAGACAGTGTATGCAAATACACCCTGAATGAGCTGCAGGAATGGGGACAGTTAATGCAAATAAAGCACATTTGCAACACATTGCTGGGCCCACATTTGCTTTTGGCTGCTACCCTCCACACACTCATGTTCACGCTTTCAGAGTATTCCCTTTAGGTTTCCTGGCTCTCATCTGCATTTCTTTCACACTCCAAGTGTTAAGAAGAAGACTGCATGCATTTAACAGTCTGCAGGGTAAAATAACGTCTGGCCTTTGCTACTTTGTTTCATTGCAGCCTCATTTCATCTTATTGGAATGCCTCTTTGATATCTCCTGACCCATATGCCACTCTTTGATTTGTAACCCAGTTAAAATATTGTATTAGAAAATACAAACAAACATTATTTCTCTCACTAATAAAATGTGTTTTCCTGATTGCAAATGTAGTATTTTGAATATGTTCAATAAAGCATTCAACACTAATAAAATGTGTGATTTTTATCAATTAATATTAGTATGATCTCATTAGTTCATCTTCATTTAGGTTCAGGTATAAAGGTGAAATGATTCCCGAAATCATTAAATATAACCAGTGTTTCCCAAATAATCAGCATGAAACAATTTCAGTCAGTTAGTTGCAATGCGTCACATCTATATGCATTTCTGACTTCAGGGCTGTGTGAGTGAGCAAACTGAAATGTTTAATGTGAATCTGGATTTTAAAAGAAGGAATAGTTAACACAAAAATACAGACTGATTATATATGAACAGGATAGATGTCATCTCCTGCAGGCGTGTCTTTGTGCTTTATTAATCTACACCAAAGGGGTGAATACCTGCTAACTACATTATACCCAAAAATATCAATTAGGTCACATTAGCTGCAAAATGCTAACTGCTAAGCTAAATTACACCAAGAATAAATACAGGGAGTGCAGAATTATTAGGCAAGTTGTATTTTTGAGGAATAATTTTATTATTGAACAACAACCATGTTCTCAATGAACCCAAAAAACTCATTAATATCAAAGCTGAATGTTTTTGGAAGTAGTTTTTAGTTTGTTTTTAGTTTTAGCTATTTTAGGGGGATATCTGTGTGTGCAGGTGACTATTACTGTGCATAATTATTAGGCAACTTAACAAAAAACAAATATATACCCATTTCAATTATTTATTTTTACCAGTGAAACCAATATAACATCTCCACATTCACAAATATACATTTCTGACATTCAAAAACAAAACAAAAACAAATCAGCGACCAATATAGCCACCTTTCTTTGCAAGGACACTCAAAAGCCTGCCATCCATGGATTCTGTCAGTGTTTTGATCTGTTCACCATCAACATTGCGTGCAGCAGCAACCACAGCCTCCCAGACACTGTTCAGAGAGGTGTACTGTTTTCCCTCCTTGTAAATCTCACATTTGATGATGGACCACAGGTTCTCAATGGGGTTCAGATCAGGTGAACAAGGAGGCCATGTCATTAGTTTTTCTTCTTTTATACCCTTTCTTGCCAGCCACGCTGTGGAGTACTTGGACGCGTGTGATGGAGCATTGTCCTGCATGAAAATCATGTTTTTCTTGAAGGATGCAGACTTCTTCCTGTACCACTGCTTGAAGAAGGTGTCTTCCAGAAACTGGCAGTAGGACTGGGAGTTGAGCTTGACTCCATCCTCAACCCGAAAAGGCCCCACAAGCTCATCTTTGATGATACCAGCCCAAACCAGTACTCCACCTCCACCTTGCTGGCGTCTGAGTCGGACTGGAGCTCTCTGCCCTTTACCAATCCAGCCACGGGCCCATCCATCTGGCCCATCAAGACTCACTCTCATTTCATCAGTCCATAAAACCTTAGAAAAACCAGTCTTGAGATATTTCTTGGCCCAGTCTTGACGTTTCAGCTTGTGTGTCTTGTTCAGTGGTGGTCGTCTTTCAGCCTTTCTTACCTTGGCCATGTCTCTGAGTATTGCACACCTTGTGCTTTTGGGCACTCCAGTGATGTTGCAGCTCTGAAATATGGCCAAACTGGTGGCAAGTGGCATCTTGGCAGCTGCACGCTTGACTTTTCTCAGTTCATGGGCAGTTATTTTGCGCCTTGGTTTTTCCACACGCTTCTTGCGACCCTGTTGACTATTTTGAATGAAACGCTTGATTGTTCGATGATCACGCTTCAGAAGCTTTGCAATTTTGAGACTGCTGCATCCCTCTGCAAGATATCTCACTATTTTTGACTTTTCTGAGCCTGTCAAGTCCTTCTTTTGACCCATTTTGCCAAAGGAAAGGACGTTGCCTAATAATTCTGCACTCCCTGTACATGCAGGTGGATTGGTTTGTTCGATAGTTGTGAAAGAGCGATAAGGTGAATACCGACACACACAAAATAAAACGTTTTAATGAGCCAGTGTAAGCCCAGACAGACGACCTTTTACTAAAAATTGTGTTAGCTTGCAAGCTAGCGCCAGATATTCTTTTGTTCGTAAATCAAGGTCAGTACAACAAACACGATTACACGTAAAAAGCAGTAACCATCCTGTATTAAATACCGAGAAAGAGAAACGTTTTTCTAGAATCAATAACCGTTAAATAGCAAAGGACGGCAAGAGGACGTGTGTACACGAATATGACTCCCGTTACACTAACGACACACCGACTCCACCATTAACATCCGGGTCATTCCCGGTCTGTCTGATGCAAGTTCCAACGGAGCGCTGAAACCAGCGGCACACCCTCTGAAACACACACACACGGAGCTCCAACAGCAGCCCGAAGATACAGAGATAGCATAAAAAAGTGTTTTATTACTGATGAACCAGTAATGTAGAAAACCCTATCTCAGTATCAATAAAATGTCTCAGTAATAAAATACGTCAAAGCCTTCTTAGGTTGTGTAGTTTAAACCAAATTCGCAAAAATTACAAAACCAAGCACATTTCCAGTGTTGTTAGTTTTAACATTTATTTCAGTCAACTAAAAGTTGTTTTTTTTCAAAATTGGTTTTAATTGGTTTGTTTTAGTTAAGAAAAGACTTCTTAACTTGTTTCTTTTCTTTTCTGATAAATGCTAACACCAAAACTCAACTTACTGCATAACATGCAAGGCTGTGATATATCAACCCAACAAAATATATTTTGTTATGTAAATATATAGAGAGCGAAAGCAAAAAGGAAAAAACTGACACAAACCTTAAATGTATTTTCTTGTGCCATCTAGTGGGTGTAGAGACGAACTGGGTGCAGCAAAGCTGACTGTGCAGAGGGCATTTACTGCTTACTGTAAAATCATGTGAATATATAAATATCTCTTTATATATATAAAAAAAATAAAAAAATAAAAAAGTGACTGTAATCTATTTTGTTTGGGGATTTGTACACAGGTCTCTTTCAAAAAAAGAGATTCAGATCTCACTGAAAACACATGTTTACATAATAATACCTGTAGATGTAGCTTTAGAAACAGTTATTACTGATTTTAATTTTTTAAATAGTTTTTATTTTTTAATTTCAAAAAGATTGTTTCTTTACTTTAAGTTTCTTTATCATATAGCCTCTGTCATATTGTAACTTTTAACTGTAAAATAATGCAACACTCAACAATAGATGACCCAAAGCCTCTTAGATGTAGGTGCATTAATATAAAGTAGTTAACCAAAGCGAATAAAACTGAAGATGTCTCATGTATATTTTTATTTAATGAATTGATACCACGTTATTGAAGTTAAAATCTATTTTAATCAAAACAATGATTATTTAAACCCACCCCTACTGTGCAGCATACAGTACCAACATCACATGATATGTTCAGAGGCAGCAGCTAACAAGGGCATGGAGGGCCCCAGACATCCAGAGACCCCCAGAGAATGAGGGCCCAAGGATGACCACCGCACCTCATGGATTCTTGATATGATTCCTTGTGAGGGTGACGTCAATCAGGTTGCCTCCCATTCAGTATAAAACCTCTCAATCTGGTCCCAGTCTTCCTCTTTTTTTTACCTTGCTTAAAGGGAACCACCGGTGAGTTTATCTCTCATTCTTCAAGTGGAGAGGGACCCGTCTGGCCTTATCTTCTTCTTTCTTTGATTTTTAGGTTCACTGTGGTAAACATGGTAAAAAAATTAGCCACCATACTTTCTCTGTATGTATTATTGTAAGGTCTACCTTACAATATAAAGCGCCTTGAGGTGACTGTTGTTGTGATTTGGTGCTTTATAAACAAAATTGAATTGAATGTAGCACCCCTGCCTCCTCATTGTGCTGCCTGTTTTATTGTTGTTATGAACATTGTTTGACCCCACACATCAGTGATCCAAGATCAAAGATGTTTGAAAGCAGTATGGTGAATGAGGTCTTATTGGCCTTGAGCTTCAAATGGAATAAAGAAATTGTGTTAATGTGTTTGAATGAAGCTGTAATTGAAAGTGTAACAGAATTGAATGACGTATCCACTTTATATTCTTTTCGTAACAATCAAACCAGACACGATAAATTTTGACCCCAGAGGACAACAGGTGTGATTATCAAATGATTCAAAAACAGCATCCTCACTAAATTTTGATATATACTACTCTGTGATAATTTAAATAGTCAAAATAATTCAATGTTTCATTTAAATTTCACTCAAAAACATGATATATACGTTTATGGAAATTAGGCCCTAAATTCCAAAATAAAGAGAAAATTTTGTTGTAATGCACTGGACCGAAGTAAGCCTAAAGTTGTAACACAGAACTGATTGACAATTTATACCATATGTTTTACATAACAGTCAAATCAGAGGACAGAAGGAGTATGGGAGGACATTACGAGGGTTACATGCCACTCACTTTAATTTTCAGGTAATCCAAGTAAAAACACAATTATTTTCAAAATAAAAGCACACATTTTCATGACATCACACATTTTTAAAGCACAGAGGAGGTGAATAAATCATCACATCTTTACAATCACAGTGCTCTTTGAAAAACTGCATGATGGTATTTCCTAGATCATATAGAAAAAATAATCACTGTAGTTTATAAAAGGAAGCTTCTTACTGTTGAAGCAAACCCATATGATTACAAACACTGCAAATGCTAGCACCTGAAGGTGCTTTAAGTCTTAAAAACAAGTGAAGAAACTCCAATCTAAAATGTAAGGTTTCACGTGTCTTTGGCACTCTTATCAGAATAAAACATCCTGAGTATTCATGTCATTGAAAAGTGCTTCTGTTGGTCCTAATAAACAGTCTGTAGAAGTGGTCAGAAAACTGCAAACAAAGCAGTCAAAGACGAAGCTGTGCGACAAACTAATAAGAGGATCACTTCATGAAAAATCAGTCAGTGTCTCCCACCTGAGCCCCTCAAAATCAGCTGATTTTTATGTCCAATAACTTTCATATCTTTAATGAAACCATGCAAAATTTTATTATAATACTGTGAGTATTTTTTGAGTTACAGGCTCCCAATGTACACAGGGTGGGTTAAGATTTGGATAATTTTGAGATGGCGAGGAAGCCGCACTGAAGGCAGCTTCACAGCAGCTCGATGTTCCTGTCTGAAGCCGTCTCATCCCAAAGGAAACTGACAGAAACTGAACAGGAAAGGTGAAATAACCAGGATGAGAGTTTGAGGCTGTGGTTCCCTGCTTGAAAACGGAGGATCTTTAACTCTGAGTGGGAGGAGAGAGGAGTCCCCAGGCGAGGTAGGATTTTATCCATGAGTGATGGGACGGTGGAGGGTTAGGTGGGCTGACAGATTGGTGAGATGGACTTTGAACATGACTGTTGTGGTGAAGAAAGAGCTGAGCTGGAGGCAAAGCTTTCAGTTTTACCTTTAAAAACATTCTTCAGGACCCAAACTTGCGCATGTCAAAACAACTACAAAGAGCAAGACGTTGTTTCTCTCTTTTAACACAGAAGAAATCTGAGCTAGAAGATGATGCTGGTATCAAAATGTGGGAAAAAATAAGAACTTTCATGAAATATACTTTGTTTAGATCAGCCTCCCGTAAAACATGGTCATATGGTGCTTGAAAGTATACCCAAAATGCAGATATCTCCATTGAATTATAAGAAAACAGGTCAAACATCCAGTGATCATTCTTGTTCCTCTACATCAAAGATATTAAATTGTTGTTTCCTATTGAGCTATGATATAACCCATGACACTGATCCTGAAAAATGTGGATATATCCTGTATGTAGGTTAAAAAGGCTAAAAAATGCTGGAAAAAAATTAAGTGACTTAAAAAGTAGCCCAAAATTTTAACACATCCCTGTGTACTCTGATGGCCTGTAACCCAGAAAATATTCACAGCATGAAGATTCAAAGCTTCATTAAATTTATAAAAGTTATTTTACTTTAAAGAAAAATCACCTGATGGTGGTTTTTTCCCCCCAGATATGTATATTTTATGTGGAGTGACCCTCCTGTTGTGCAAAATATGCATTTTGTTCCAAACTGTACCTTGTTCAAGGTAAAATTAAAAGAAAAACCAAAATAACTTTAAAAAAAAGTGATATGTTTTGGTCTCACCTGAAGTATCAAACAGGTGCAAAGAAACAAAATCACCCGGAAAATTTTAAACAAAACTCGCATACAAACGATTAAAACTTTATCAACAAGAGTAAACGTGTTTCCTGATTATTAAAAGGCAGCACGTGTTCGAATATGTCATCTGCACCAAAACTAATCTTTTCTTAAAAGTAGTGATAACATTCTAACCCTTGAAATTTCACCTCCCAGCGAATTTAAAGGGTTAAAAATGTGTCTAACAGGAAATTTTAAATGCTCCATAAGCTGTAATATAGTTGCTGGAATTACCGTAAAAATAAGTCTATCAGCTCACCTCGTAAACAAGAAGAGCATATTGTACCTCTGAAGTCATTATTGGTTCATGAAGTGTGAATACTGCATGAAGTCCCTTAATTTATACCTGAATTTACAGATTAAACCTCCAGACACGTTCCTCTAAAATCAGAAAACTGTGTAAAACTAGCTGATCGTATATGTGTCTTTAAAGCCTGAGTAAAGGCTCTGCTGCTGATGCATATTTCTGCTTTAATGTGAGATGGACCTGTTCCTCTTCCTCTCAGCTTCAGCTCGCTCCTCCTCAGTGAGGGCCCATGGTTGGAGCTTGCCGCTGCCAAGTAACGTGTAAATGACGGCACCGCCCGCGTTGATCCCAGCGGCAACCCAGAAGACTTTTGCCCAGCCGGCCAGAGTGCGCTGCCAACCAGAGGAGAGGACGATGAATGTTAAACACTGTGAATCTGACAGTGAATCATTGCTGCTTTCAACTATTTTATGATGCCTTCTGTGTATTTTCCACCTTGAAGAAATAAAAATATGAAGATATGATTTTATTATCATTCCTATTTCTGTTGTTTTCACACGTACGCTGCAGCCATTCACCTGAGAACTCAAACGTCCAGCAACATCAGCCCGACTTTAACCCTCCTAACATCCACCAGAGCACTAAAGCAGGATTATGAGCTTATCTCGATAACTTCATGATTAAACCTGGGCTTTTAGTCACACAGAGGTACATGATTTTTATGCTGTAGACCTGGAGCAGGTTATGTTTGAGACAAAAAGATCAACCAGTCCTTAGAAAACAGCTCTGTGTATTGGTTTTAAACTTCATAACAATTTTATTTTTTTATATTCTATATGACAGATAAAAAGGGCAACTATTTGTAAATTTGGACTTTATATTAATTTGTAAGAAGTCTATGCTTTTGTATTTACTCACTGCTCTCAGAACGTTTATACCACTAGGTGTTAACAGTCTGAGAAAGAGCTGTGATACTGCTCGATATGTTACCTCACAGAGTCTGCATTTTTGCCAGCTTTCCCTGAACTTTATTAATACAGTATTGCACAGAGATTCATATTGTACTTTTAATACTTTGCTGATATGTCTGCATCCGTTTTAGTGATGCAAGTCTGTTTTACATGTTTAACTCCTTCATGTTCTGTAATAAAGTTTTATCCTTATTTGTAAAATTATCACTGTCCATGTTTGTGATTGGTCAGATGCCGCCAACGCCAACCCTTTAATGTGAATGTTTTCATAGCTAGGTTGATAAACCCTGGGTTTAGCGAGATGATAACCACCTTCGTTTATCCTGATTGCCATAGTTAGGATAAATGAATCCAGATAGCATAAATATGTCCTCCGTATAGTGACCTCGCTTTGTAGTTCAGGGCACAGGTCAAAACAGGTCAGGGTGAGATGATGAATTTAGCCTTTATACTCACATCTTCAGTAAAGTATCCCGTTACGATCGGCGCCACGACCCCCGGGATAGTCCCGAAGGTGTTGGTGATTCCCAGCAGGAATCCTGCATACCTGCAGGAGCAGGAAACAAAGTATTTGTTTGTCACAATTTCATTTATCCAAGTCTTCATTAGATCTGTGGACTCTGATTATCAATGTATAGTTCACTTAAATGATTTGCAGCTTTTATGTGTTTCACGTTTTCGGGGTTTAAACTGTTAAGCAGTAAAAACTTAATCAGCTGTTTGGACGACGACACCCACCGAGGAGCGATGTCTATCTGGTTGATGAAGACTCCGGCGGCGCTGAACCCTCCCGTTGTCATTGACAGTGTGAGGAAGGTGACGATGAGGATGTGGTCGCAGCCGGCGTAAACCACAGCCACGAGGAAAACCGAGGGCAGAAACAGACCTGCGGAGAGAAGAGACGGCCGTTGGAACAGGAAAAAAATAAAACAGTACCGGGTCACTTTCTCTCTTTAAGGGAGAATCTGATCTACTCATGTCCAAATTCTGAGTGAAGTGTTGGTTTTACTGGGAGGAAATTCACTTCAGTGCATGGGCCACATTCATCCCAGACCAGTAAAACCACAGCATACACACACGCATTAAAAAACAAGTACATTATAATCACAGTCACCTGGAGTCCTGCAGGCCTCATACTATCGCTTCACAACAACAAATGCAAACTAAACCACACGGGGGCAGCGTTGCTTCATTAAGTCACTCAAACTTTAATCTGCATTTGTTTGTGTTGAACAGCAACTGTTCCTATGTCACATGTAAAAACTGCAGACGAAGCTTTGATGAACACAGTTTTTCATCTCGGGGAGGGACCCAGAGACGAGTCACATAAAATGATCTCTGTAGTAAAATATTTGTCGAAGTGTTGCAAATGAGCCGAGTTTAGTTTGTGCCGTGTTTCTCGTTCTTTCTGGATGTTTGTAATTCCAATGCCTTGGCTTAAAGTGGGATTTTGCTGGCAGAGGAACACTAAGATCCAGCAAACTTATTAGTCTCAAAATAACTCCCAAATCAGCTGACTGCTGCTGCTGCTGACTCTAAGGCTTTCTGCTCTTTGTGAATTCAGCTGCATCCTACATTCTAGGAGGATTTCATGAGTCATCATAGCAGGAATCCAGCATGAAGACAGAAGACAACCTTTTGTGACAGTGTTTTCATATCAAGGTTAAACCAGCAGCGCAGGAATCCTGACTCCTTTCTAACCAGGCGGGGCCAGAAAATTCACACAATTCTTTACAAGTGGATGTAACACTCTCTTAAAAGTCAAGACTTTAACCTGAGAGACTAACTTCCTGCTTTACCTTCTGAGTATGCAAACACCTATATGTATGTAAGCCTGCACACAGATGAAATGAGCACTAAAGCTTTATTTACCTACAAACGTGAAGATTTTGCGAACGACAGTGACGCTGAACACTCGCCGCTCGATGAGGGCGTCCGCCATGACTCCAGACAGCCACGCCATCAACCAGCTGCCCAGGTACGGCAGAGAGGACAGGAAGCCGTTCTGATACAGACACACAGACAGATGTTCAGACTTTCAGATTTCTGACAAAAATACAGAAATATAAACACTGACATCAGGAAAGTGTAGAGCTGATGCTGTAGTTTCAGATTTTGGGACTTTCACTTGATTTCCTCTCTGACATCTCCACATTTTTGGATAAAGCTACACGTTTACTACCCGACACTGTTTCAATTCTTCTATTTTTTACAATTTTTTTTTACAATTAAGAGAAAAAAGAAGCAGAGGTCAAAGATAAAACAAAGTTCCTGTAATCTATCATAACATTAAAACTGAAATTTCACATCATAGTTTTATTACGTTTTACTTGGGTGAGTCTCATGTGTCTCTACTCTGATCTCAAACATCTGAAGCGCTTCGGTAAACATGAAACAAGTGAAGGGAAATCTCACCGACTGCAGGTCGAAGTGCAGGATGACATCCATGTAGGTGGGCAGGGATGTGAGCAGGGTGTAGTAGGCCCAGTTCGAGCACATCTGGGTGACGATGATGGCCCACAGTTGGACAGACAGCGCCATGTGCAGCAAAGGCAAGGACCAGCCATGACCTGTACCCTTAAGCATCGGTTCAGGTTAGAGAAAAATCATAACAATGTACTGAAATAATACAATTTAAGAACTTTGCAGTAGAATCTGACTGATATAGGGTTTTTAAGACCGATACTGATGCAGATATTTGACGATTTAAAAGCCAGTATGTCAGCCAATACTTTTTCATTTCAGACATATGAAACACAAACAGATTTACCCGAAATTTGAGCAGAAGTTTATTTACTTGTTTACGCTCAGGTTGGATCAGCTGGCTGCATTTATGATGTTCCCATTGTTGCAAATGGGTGTCTTCTGGTGGACAAACCATGCAACATCAACACTCATAACATGCCTGAAGAGTGTTTCTGCTTACTTTTTCAATTTTCATTTATCATCTGCCAAAATAACTAATGCTGGGCTCTACTCTGCAGTAATAAAAACATAATCATAGACAGAACACCTGTAGGGTTAAGAAGGATGTTCTGTTTTAAGTTATTATAGGTAAAAAAAAAAAACAACTAGTGACATACTGGTGACAGATAGTGGTCCCCCTCAGCCTCCTAGAAGATAGACTTATGTTATCAATTTCAAAATCCTAGGTGACTTCCTTCTAGAATTATCACACTCAAGACGATTTTCAGAAAACCTGACCTCTGACCTCAAACCTTGAGGTCTACATTCTTAGCAGATACACCCGTGGAGACTTGGGTGTCCACGTCACCTGTCCGTGGACAATGATGACCACACTCCATGAGCCTTTTATGGCTGAGGGGTAAAAAACCAAACCACCCCCTCAAAAACTGTACAAAACAGCATGAAAATATGCAGAAAATGTCTTTGATTTCAATCTTTATTAGTTTAATCTATATTTATTAGTTTGGTCAAACTGAGCTGAGAGGGATTTATTTTTCACCAACACCTGAATGTCTATGTGACGGTTTGTCTGCAGTTGTTTGTACTTTAAAACCAAATCTGAACTTGTTAAGCCCTTAAAACCAAGTTTACCACAATACTTGTCCATCAGTCCGATTCCCCCTCCCCCTCCTCCGAAACCTTTTCAAACAATAAAATCTAAACTGAAACGAAACCTATTGAAGAAGATCAAACTATAATATATTTGGATCGAAAATATATTTGGATATAAAACCAACTGAGACAAAAGGTCAGCTGCGGGGAAGAGAGAGTAAGAAAAGGCAGAGCAGTAAGAGAAATGGAAACAGGAAGTCAGATAAAGGAAGTGATGAGTCACTCTTCACTGCAGGTAGAAAAGAATACACAACACAGGAGCAGGTGAGGGACAATTTTGAACAGCAATGTCATTTGTATATACACTACCACTTTTTTCCACTTAAAAAAAACAAACAAAAAAAACATTTGCAAATGTTTGCAAATCTCTTTTTGGGGTTAAAAAAAAGCTGCTGTTGGTATTTACTAAAGATGCCCAGTTAATCTAACAACTAAAAGGCAGGACTGAGGTCATGTGTTGCCTGTGAATCTGCAGGAGTTTCCTTATACAGGGTCACAGAGCAGTGCTTCTCAAAGCAAGGACCCTATATAGAGCACAAAATAATTAAAAAGCAGATGAGGACCAACAAAACAAACAAAAACAACAGTCACATGGAGTCTGAAACTTTATGTATAAAATAGATTTACACAAATAGCTCCAGATAAATATAAGGAGTATAAAAGATATGAAGGATTTGCTTGGTCAGATTATAACAGGGTCCCCTGACAGAGACACACATGAGGATCAATGTAAATAAATATCTGTTAATGTTTCACTCGTACCTGTGGTCCCACGGTTTTAATGATGTAATCTTGCTCCTCTTTGCTGATTCGGCGATGGTTGCGAGGGTCATCTGACACAAAGATAAACCAAAAGACTGCCCAGAGGCAACCAGCACCGCCTGGAAGAGGAGGTGAATGATTTAAAGAATCAGCAGATTTGGCAGTGAAAGCAAAGAGCTAAACAGTGATTGTCTTCAAGGCCAAGTCAGAGGAAAAGTAATGTTACTGTTGTCATAAACCAAAGAGGAATAAGCTCAAATGATAGGCTGCCATCACTGTACATTAAAACAAGACTTCTGTGTAGCCTCAATAATACACAAATTGCTCTAAACAGTTTTTTGTTGTTCAGATGTAGTAAAAAAATGGCTTGTGGTGGCACCAGTGTGTGTTCCCCTCACCACAGATGTAGAAGACAGTGGGCCAGCCCAGCATCTGGCAGATGTAGCCAGTGAGCGGCAGGGCCACAAAGGCGCCAAAGCTGCCCCCAGATGCCGACATGGCAATCAGGCGAGAGCGCTCCAGAGGAGGAGCCCACCTAGCCCATATCGCCATCATCGCCGGGTACGTCACACCCTAAAGATGCACACAGAGAAAATGTAAAGAAAATAATCTGCCCGCTGTTATAGAAGCTTTTTACGTTGGCAACTACAAGCACCTGGAGTCATTCTTGATGTAGGTGTAAAAAGGTTAAACCAAAAAGTGTACCAATGGTTTTTCTTCTCGTTACATTTTTGGCAGTCATTCAGGGCTGATCACGCTGGCAGAGCGAGGCCTGTATCACCCATAGGAGCAGACGCAGGACTCCTCATACCACAACTTATTAAACCCCTAATTTGGATTTTTATTCTCTGAGATCTTGAGTTTTCCTATTATTTTCTTACCTTTCAAAGATTTTTGTTCAAGTAATAATTTATTTATTTAATCAATCCATCTTAGTATAAATCTGCGCTGCCTGGGGGACTCCAATTCTCTCGCCAGGTCTACCGCTGCACGCCAGATCCCCCCAGGGCGGCTACCTGGACAACGAGTCACTACCCGGGGACGGTAAGTTCCATGGAGATATTGGCGTAGTGCACCTCAGAGCACGGGCCTGCCACCTCACCATCACTAAGCTGTACAAACCCCAATCTCAACGCTGACACCAACGAACATGCACCAAGACAAAAGTCGTACTGGCTGTTTGCACTGCGAGCTCTGGAGGGCTTCGGAGAGGTACGACAGGGGGGAGACCAGACATGTTTTTCTTATTTCTTTGACAGGTTCGTTTAAGCTCTGAACACCCATCTGTGGTAACCGC